AAACAAAAATAGTTAATAGCAAAACTATAATAGTCAATAGTTGAATAAGAGTAGTCACTAAAATTTTAAAAATAAAATTAGTCAATCATAATATTAGAGTAGTCGATAGCTAAATAAGAGTGGTTATCAGAGTTTTAAAAAAACAAATGTAGTTAATAACTAAAAAATATTAGTCAACACATAAGAGTCGTTACCGAAGTTACGGGTGACATGTCGCAAGAGCTCCTACGGTTGGCCACAAGCAAGGTCACCGAAGCCGAAGCTCCGACGGCTGGAAGGGCTAAGGTGGCAATTTTTTTAAAAATATTAGTAAAGGGCATTTGTATAATTTTATAAGATTTGAAAATTCTAAAATGATAACAAGGGGTCTAAATTAGAATTTTAAAATTCACCCACATTGATTTGTCCTTTAGCAATTTTTAGGGTATTTTATTGTATTTTTTCCCTATTTTTCTAGGTTATATTTATAAGTCATTTTATTAAATTTTTAGTAGGAATGTATTATTTATCATTCATTTACTATAGTTTAGATAATTATTTTTTCAAAGGTATATATAATAAGGGTAAAGTTAAAATGTTATTATACTTTAAGAAAGAATTAATGCAATTTAAAATTTTTCTTAGCTTATATAAAACATGTTGAAGACGCTAGGATGATAGAAGTATTTGTGTTGAACAAAAATACAAATATTTTCAAATTAAAGAGAAAAACAAGACCAAAGAAAGAGAAGGAATGAAACAAACACAGTTGGCAGTGATTATTACACTTGTTGAACCAGAAATTAGCGTTACAGTGAATAAAATAAATAATTTAATAATGAATTTGAACAAATACACAAGCACGCACATATAGATGGCCTCAATTGTCTTCATTGCAAAAAAAATTTCAATAAAAAATTAGACATTAACGAGTTAGTTCTAAGTTGTGCAAAACATAAGAAATTGTATGAAATTCAAAAGCATTTTGAAACCTGAAACCTTGGTTTTCAAAATGCTTTTAGGAAGAACTTGACACATTTCAAGTTTTCAATTTAGAAGTGGCCTCTATGAAAATTCTCAGGCGTTAATTCTCATATTAACGCGTCAATAATCCTGTGTTGAAATAATTCGTTCTGCTCTATTAAAAAATCATAATTGGCTTTAAATATGAAGTATGAAGAAAGTGGGCCAAAAACCAGCCCAATAAATATATTCTCTCCAAAGTTTTAGAGATACCTGACTCTCTCTCTCTAAAAAGAGTCCTTTTCCTCAATTTCAAACACTTTTTTTTTTTTTTTTTGCGCCAGCTTGAACTTCAAACAGTTGAGTCCATTGCTTTGTCCCATTTTTCCTTCGATTTGCTTCTGATTTTAGATATTTTTTCCTCGGCCAAAAAATCGAACGGCTGCTGTTTCGTAGGGCTCAGTAATTCTGGTTAAAAAGAAAAAAAGTAAACCTCAGTAATAAAAGAATGTGCCGGCATTTAATGTCTAGAATTGCGTTCGATAAAAAAAATTAGTTTGTTAGAATAAAAAAAATTAAAAGAGCAAATGGCTATTCTAACTTCCAAGGGGGGAAAATTAAATAAAAGTGATTATAAAGAAGGTGATTTAAATTATAGTTTTTCTGCCAGATATTTAAATATATTTTTACTCCTATTTGTGTTCCCTTTTTTCTGTTATTAATTTCATTGTAGTATTTTATTAAAAATCATTTTTATATCTTTCAGTTTTACTTATATTTATAAGTTAATATAGTTAGTCTGGTTGTTTATCCTTGCATTTAAGTTGATAAGTTTTATCCTTAGAATATAAAATAATGACATTAACGACATTTAACGTAATACGTAAACTATAAATGATATCCATTAGTATACTGTTTGGAGTAGATGCAGAAAAATATTATTTATAATAATTCACTTGCCAAGAACTAAATTTTTTAAAAAAAAATCCTATGAGGAAATGATTTTATCAAAAAAATAATTTGAAACAGATATTAATGTAAAGCGAGTTATTTTTTTTAATAGGAGTGAAATGAAAAGCACACCAAAAAAAATAGGTTTTTACATAAATCAAAAGACAACTCATCTCACATGTTTAACTTGATTTTTGTAAAATGACTTTTAAAAAACTATAGCTCCGTAGAATAGTTAAAAATTAATTAAAAATATCTAACTCATCACCAAAATATTTTTCTTTTAAGCCCAAACCGCAAATAATTCGGTTCATTGGTCCGATGGGCGGAAACAAAAGTTAAATCTCACTATAACAAGCAAAAATGTTTCCAGAAAAATAGGTGGAAGACGTGGCACCTTTCAGTACACGTGGAAACAGTGCACAACGTGTCGATCACGTCGTGCGCCACCTTCCTCTTTAAACATGCTGCATCGAAAAGCGATGATGATAAAACGATTCAATCTTCATAGTATCTCCCATATCATCTTTAGCTCGTGAAGAAGAAGTTAATACACACAAATCAAACAAACAAACAACTCTCAGAAAATATGGCAGCCATGCTCATCACAAGAACTGCTCTCTTCCGTTTCTCAAAGTCCTTTCCTCAGGCAGTCTTCCTCAGATCTTCCCACAAACCCTCCAGAGTCGCCTTTGCCTCTGCTTCTTCCAATAACTATTCACACGTATATACCTCTTCTTCTTCGTCTTCACACTCATTTCTGTCAAGAACAGTTCAATATAATCTATTTAAGATTTTTGACACTGGTTTTGGTCTTGATTTTCAGTTCAGAAACACAGCAGAAGGAGCGGATGCAAGAGTTTGGTCATACGATCCTGCAAATGCGAGACTGAAGAAGATGACAGAGACATGGGTGACAGGGTAAGAGATGGAGCAGAAGAAGCAAAGAGAGAGGTAAAGAGTACGCACATGAAGCTAAGGAGAAGACGAAGGACATGGCTGAGAGAACCAAACAGTACGCTCATGAAACTAAAGAAGATGCCGAGGATGCTGCAGAGACCATGGCGGATAGAGTCAGAGAAGGAACAAACAAAGCTTCAGAGAGAGCAAGAGACTACGCTTACGACGCAAAGGACACTGCGAAGGACGCGGCAGATACTGTGGCTGATAAGACGAAGGAAGTGGCTCATAAGGCGGCGGATACAGCCGGGTATATGAAAGAAAGAACGAAGGAGAATGTGTCGGGAGCGGCGGAGAAGACAGCGGATACGGCAAAGTCAGCGACGGAGAAGACGGCGGACGCTATGAAGTATGTGGGAGATAAGGCGAAAGAAACGGCGCAGGAGCGTGGGGGGCGGCGAAGGACACGACGCAGAAGATTAAGGAGACGGTGGTTGGGAAGGATGAGAGCGACGACAACGACGACTATAAAGGCGGCCGTGGTGGGTGGAAGAAGGCGAGGCCCTGGATGAGGATGTTTGTGGAACTGAGGAGACAAGCTGGGAAAGGACACGATGCAAGGAGGGTTATTAGCCAATGAAGAAGAAGGGTACTTCTTCTTTTTCGTTTTTTGGTCAATTTCTGCAAAGAAGTTTGGTGATAAATATAATACTGTCAGTTTGTTTATTTGGTAATGGGTGTTTTGTGATGGCAAAATCTTACTAAAAATTTGTTTAAATAAATCTAAAATAATAAATTTTTAAAAATACTCTTAATGAGTGATGGGGATCAGAATGAGTAGAATAATAATTAATACAATGACAAAAAAAAACTAATAATACAGTAAGATTGCTTAATGATTAATATAAAAATAAAAAAATTGGTTTTTTAATATGAATATTATCCTCTATTGTAAGTAACTATGGTGTTTTAACAATAAATATAGAGTGAAGCATTGGGGAAAATATGTTTTCGCATTTAATCCTCAGCCTTACATATCTATCTATGGCAACAAGCTGCTCTTCTATTCTGAACGAAGATAATTGTTTTTTCTTTAAAAAAAAAAACATTTATCCCGGTGGGACATTTCATCATTTTATGGATGATTTAATAAACTTATTTGTGGTGTATCTTGATTTTTGTACAAGGTTCCAACCTCACCCCACACCACCCCTAGGTTTTTTTTTTAATTATTTGGTTCTTTCACATTTTTCTTCTCCTTTATTTTTTGACAAAAACATTCTTCTTCTTTCGAAGGTGAGATAATAATTATGTTTATTGTGACTTGTTTATTTAATACGAAATTTCCTTTTCATCAAAAAAAGTAAGATATAAGATAATAATTATTTCTTACAATTCTAAAACAGAGCTAATTAAAGGAATTATTTAAAAAAGCAATACATTTGTCAAAATAATTAATTTAACTAATTGTTTTTTCGTTACAATTTTTTTTAGAAACAATATTTTTTAGTATTCTTTAGTCAATAGTTAGAGACTAATCTTTCCGAAAAGTGCAAAATGGTTTTACCTCTCCTAATAAAGTTTTTTTCATTACCAATTGTTTTAATTTATGCGCAAATTAGTAAGAGCATAATGATCCACTTCAACAAAAGTTTGGTGTAGGCCCAACTTGATGAATGCGTTATAGACTTAGTTGAGGCGATCCCTTCTCAATTGGATCTATTCAAATGGGCCCAGCTCATGTACCCTGGGCTACTTCCCTCTGGGTTCTCGCTAGATCAGAAGTGTTTTCATCGGCCTAAACAAAATCTGCTTGGTATGAGTGAAATGGAGGAAAGAGGGGAGAGAAAAAAAAAATTAATAAACTAGAGTTAATTAAAATTTTCTTCCCAACCCTTTCCTCCATTTACCTCGTACCAAACACAGGGTAAAGGTTTGAAAAGATATACAAATCCCAATCCTAATATAAGAGTCAGGTACTTAATTTATAAATATTAAGAAAATTAATTAAATTAATTATTGAAATAAATAGTTACACATCTTAAAGTATCTTGTAATTATGTGTATTGGGAATATCTTTTTTATGGAACCTTTAACATATATAATCACTATACAGATTACTTTTTAAAAAAAAATAGATGAAAATATAAGACAAAGTAGATTGTAATTTTATATTTATGATGAATTGAATTTCTAAGTAGTTATTATATTACAAATCAGAGGTAATATTCAACAAATGAGTTTGAATTTTATTGGGAGAGGTGTTTATATTTAGTATAATATGATTACCTCTAATAGAATAATACCTAATAGTGACTCGAATATGATTACCTCTAATAGAATAATACCTATATGTAATAATAAAAAAAAAAGACGAGTAACGTATATTTTTCTTTTCAATTTGTAACGAGAAACTTACTGGGTTAATGTACAAATTTTCCCTGCAAACGTTAATTCGTTAGACACCCGAAAGTTTTTTCAGCGTAAATTCATCCTGAAAAGTTTAAAATCATAGTTAAAAATTGTTAACAGTTAACATCACATTTTAACATTAATTTTTTAACTGCAAGAGGTAATATTGTTAAGATGTTAAATTTTTGGAACAAATTTATATTCCAAAATTTTTTTTTTAAGTATTCAACGCTCACCGCAACCTTTTTCTGCATATAACTAATATGGGCCGTCTGCTGGATCAGAGATGTGCGCATGATGATTTGTATACCCAGGGGGGGGGGGAAGGAGTAGAAGGCAAATGCGACGACGTATGAAGCATGATGCCTCTGACGCACGGAGGAGTCTTTGCGGGTCCCACTCCCAGGGTGCCACCTTCGATGATGGCCTTGTAGGAGCAGTTGGATTTTTTTTTGGCCCGAGGGAGCAGTTGAATTGAAAGTGGTAACCGCTAACGACTCCAGCCCTGCCACGTCATCAAGTGACTTAAGTGAAATTGAAAGAATAGTGTGATGTGGGGCCACCATCTTCAATTGGATGTGTCCGAAACATCCTCAGGAAAAGCAGGGGAATTTTCTTACCCAGATAGCCCAAAAACTCAATTGCCCATTTGTAGTTTGAAATGCGCATTCCAACGTATAATATATTCTAAATCATTTCCCTTTTTTTACACTTCATGAATTTTGAAAAAAAAGGGAATTATGAAATTATGTTTCTACAACGAAAGTATTCATTATCTTCATATTGAGATTATTATGTCTGCCTATAATGCTTTGAGAATTCTTATGCAATAAAGATGAAGAGGGTGGTTCAAACACAACTTCACTAAGTTGGTGCAGAGTTTTTGCTTTGGTAGTTTGGTTAGTCTGGTAATCCAAACCATAGCTTAAGAACCAATCCACTTTCTGATCATGGATTGAGTTGAATTGGTCAATTTTTATAAAGGAAGGGTCCACATTTAAAAGGCGTTGAGCCGGTCCATTAGGGCTTAATTAATTATGCAATAACAACACTTGCTTGCTCCCTCCAATTCTAAATTAATGAATTTTTTGTCCTACATAAAAGATCTCAATTTTATTTGTCTTTCATATTTATTTATTTATTTTCAAATTATTCTTTTAATTATACACAATTAATATGAATAGTTTTAAATGTAAATAATTAAAAAGGAATTTTAAAAAAGTCTGAGTAATTTTTTTTTATAGATAACTAATTAACTAATTTATTTATTGTTATTTTTTTTACGTCATTTGAAATAATTCTGTTGGTCACAGTACTAATTAAGTGGTCCTTACAGGGTACTTAAGAATTTCTTAGCAAGTTTAAGGATTGGAGGATGTGAATACCCATTCGTCTTTTTATATTATATGCATTATTCACATTGATTAGGCACGCCGGCATGATGATATGAGAATTGTCTTTTAATTAATTAATGGGCCAAGACTTGTTAACTTGGACTCATTTTATTCCATTTGTGTCATTTAGAGAATTGGGAAATACATATGTTTTTGGGCCTTCAATATAAACCCGTTTGTGTAATGTGTTAATTATTCAGTAGTTTTTCATTTTGCCTTAATTTCTTCTTTTACATGAGTTCCCCATTTTGTGTGTGAGTGATTAGTTTCCTAAATTATGTTGTGTTTGTGTGCTTGTGTTTTTTGCTTACTTTTTTCTTTTTGTCCCCTCTTAATCACTCTAATTGGAGTTTTCCAGCTAGAGATGCACATCATGTTTTTAAAATAAAATAGAAAAAGAGAGGAGCTTTTTTTTCCCCCCAAGTATATAGTAGGGGTAAAAAGGTAGCAAGACAAGATAAAGTAGAAAGAAACAAAAAGGAAATTTTTTTTGAGCAATCAACTTTCCTATTTGATGTTTCCTTACAATCATTGTGTTGCCATTTCTCTTTCTAAGTTTTATTCATTAATTGTATCTTGAGCAGTTTCCTATTTTGTTGTTTTTCTTCTTTAATTCCTTATTTGCATACTTTTTGCTACTTCCATTTGTATCATAGTTCCTTTGTTGTCCACCTTTATTTATCTTTCCATTTGATTACTATTTCTTTTGTTGTGCACTTTCCTATTTTGTTTTGTCATGATGTTTTAGGTTGATTTTTTTTTTCTATTTTATAATCATACACTTAAGTTTAAATCATTAATTCCGTTAAAAATATTCTAAAAAATATTTTTAATTAAAAATTATATTAAAATGCATTTTACTTACTAATTTAGATTTCATCATACTAAATTCTTAATTTTTGCTAAAAATGTTTTGAAGAATTTAAGATTTTTCTTATTCCTTTTTTGCAAATCGTTAATACGTATTCTCATTTGTTTAATGTTTTTATTATATTGGAAAAGAAGCTCAAATAATTCAGTTAAAGTAGACATACAAAAGTCAAAAATTTGATTATTTTTAATAAATACATACTTTTTTATTCAAATAAATATATCCTTACTAAATGAATTTATAAATTTTTGTATTAAAAATATGTTTATAAATTTTAAATTATAAATTTAAATGATTTATATAATCTTTCATACTTAAATTATTTATAATATATGTTGAACAGACATATGGTTTTAGCCATTTAAAAGAAATCTAAATAAATAATTTTCAATAAATGCAATGAAAAGTTAAAATTATAAAATTTTATAGTATAATCAAAATTAATAAATTTTACAACATATATATTATAAATTTTGAAAATATATCTTAGAAGTATTTTTTGGTTGCATGAAAATGTTTGCGTAACGCACAATTTAATTTCAGGTTTATGCCTGATTTTAAAATAGATACTTAGGTTTTTGTAATTGTAAAACAGAAGATTGGCTAGTAGTCTAATCTTTAATATAATAGCATGTTAAAAATTTAATTTGATTCTAAATATAAGATCTCAATTCATTTTGTCTTCAATACTTATTTATTTTGCCTCCAAATAATTTCTATAATGATTGCATATGTTAAGAAACTTTTATTAATGGATAGTTCCAATAGACATGATTAAAAAATATATTTTAGAAGAAATAACGTCTATTTATTATAAATAACTGACTTAACTTTTTTTTTAATATTTACAAATTAATTATCTAATTTTTATATTAAAGATATGTTTTCTTTTAAACCAAATGAATCTTCTATCCACTTTAAAAATTAATCTTCCTCGAGTTGTGGAGGGTAAATGGTAGGCCGCTCAGATTTGCTCCATTTATAAAAGTGTTGAAAATTGAATCATAAACGGCTTGGCTAAGAAATGAGAGCCATGCTACTTAAGTCAATCTGAGTTGATGTTTGGGGTTGATATTTAAATGTACGTAGAGAACTAGTGGAAAAAGAGTTTTAAAAGTCATTAGTTTAATGGTTGTTGAATTATTGACTTAAACCTCTATCACGAATTAAAGTAATATAATTTAACTAAAATATATGCAAACATTAATACATAACACGGAAAAGATATATTAAAAAAAAAAGTCCTTAATTTACAACTAGATTCGGTAATATGAATTAATGATAGCTTGAGATTGGCTAAATATTGGCTTTTAGCCAACCCACTTAAAAAACAAAATTGTTCAACCCGCACCAAGAAACCTACAACCTACTGCAGGTTAACACCCCCAACATATGTGCTAACCTGTATTTATTTTTTGAATTTTATTTATTATTATGAGTATATTATAATATTTTATATCCTATCTAAAAAATTTTAAAAAAAACCTACATCATTTATTTGGTGTTTTCAATCAAGTACTTAAAGAAAAATAAAAATATCATTATATTTTTTTTATATTGTATATGAAAAAAATTATAAAAAGAAAAAAGAAAATACTATCAGTAGGTTGGCGGGCTAACTCATCAACCCACTATACGCACCGTCATTACATCGAGTTTTTTCAACTCGCACCGCCTAACTCTAATATTGCACATTAACATGTATTACCACCTCTATTCACAAATAGATGGAGCATCCATATATAAACTGCACGTAATTCAACAAAACAGAATTATTAAACCATAAATATGATGAATTGCTATTGTTTTAAAAATCACAACAATGTTGTTTTATGTTGAGCACATGGAGGAAAAAAGTATAAAATTTGATCATCAATGTATCCACAGCTCTAAACCAAACCAGTCAAAAGATTGGTTTACAATAAGGGTGGGCAAAAACTTAGTAGCCATTTAACCCAATCCAATTTGAGGTAGTCGATCTGGTTTGATCTAGTAGGTTAAAATAAGCTCAAAAATGATGTCGGATCAAACCAAACGAGACTAGCTAGTTAAGTTATACTGAGTTCTAGACCAAGTGATCTGAACACTTGGTTAGGTTTAGTTAAACTCAATTGAACTTTTTTAAAAAATATATATATAGTTAGATGTCATATTGTTGTTGAATGTTGAATGCTTTGAGATTTACAATTAGGTTTTATTGTTTTTGGATAAGTTTTATATGGTTATATCTATATTTTATTGTTGTTTTGTGTTTATCAAGTTGAAATCTTGCTTCTAAAAAAAAAAAGTATTGAACTACTCGGACCACTATAGACAGTTGAGTGGACCAAGTTTAGTCCAATTTGACTTGGGTTGATGTAAGATGAGACTAGACCATAGATTGACTTGAGTTTAAGCTTTTCTCTAAACCAAACTTTGAGTTGATGACTAATCTGATTTGGTACTTTCATACCCTTAGTTCACAATTATAATGAAAAAAATAGGAAAAATGCCTACTTCATAATAATAATCATCTATACCTGTTAAGTGTTTAAATCAGATTTTAACGAGGTTAAAATCTATTTATGTATTTTTTTAAAACAAAATAATATAATAATTTTATAAAATATTAAATTTGGACTATTAAGATTTCATCCCATGATGATGAAGGGGTAAAGTAGGTCTACTTCCGAGGTCCACAAGGCTGAGTGGCTGATCTTAGCTGGATCTTAGTACTAATAAGCAGTATACTCAAATGTCGTTGGTCAAAGGAGTGGCCAAAACAGAACATGTTGGTCAATGTGAACAAGGAAAATCAGAGGAAATATCAAGGGCGGTCATCATGGTCTACGTGGGAACTGGGCGTCTAATCGGGAAGGGAAAGAAACACGCAATGACGTCAGAAATGACCAACAAAAACCACTATTAATCAGTAATCAATAATAATTATAATAATTTTCTGCTGATTTCATTTTTCTGAAAAAATTAATGAAAGTGGAGTGGAGATGAACGAGGAGAGAGAGAGACAAAAGAACAAAAAGAGAAGAAAAAGCAAGAAAGCGATGAGAACTTCAGTTCTGAGTTCTGACATAGCCACACGGATTCATAGACTCCGGCCACTCACCCACCCAACCGTTGCCTTTGCCCTGCCTTCTCCGGCGCCACCGCCTTCCGCCCTGTTCAGTGGACCTTCCTCCTCCACCGTGCTTGTCTCAGTTCACTTCTCTCGTTTGCTTTCTGGGTCGACCACCCACAATAAAAAACATCAGAACCCAGAAGCTTTCCAGTTTGTGATATTGATTTTTCCTCTTCAATCAAACTGCGTAAACTTCGTCACTTTTTCAATCCCTTTTCCATCATCTCTTGCTGCACTCAGATTCAGCTCATTCCCTTTTCAGACTTAAATTGCCACGTTGCAGAGACCCCAGGTTCTAACTTCTATATATGTATGTATACTCACCTTGTTCCTCAAATCCTTCCTCATTTGATGTTCTAGAACTTCATATATATTATGGAGTGAGATTTTGAGAATCCTGTGATATTTAATTGCCCAGATATTATTGAATTGATACATATTCAGATTCACAAAAGTTATCATCATCATGATTACCAGATCTTATTAATTTGGTGGTATTTGGGTAACACATGCCCTTATATATGTAAGGGTAGTATAAGTTTCTATGATATCTCGCCGTGGTTTTGGTCAGTTTATTAGATTCTCTCTGATACATATTTCAGCCACGTTGAGAGCTGATAGATTACCCTTTCAAATCTGAAACGCTCAGATCTTCACACTTCTCTCAACACCTTGCATGTTCATATCACACCGACCTTACAGTTTCTGTGTATAAATATACAAACCCAACCCCACAAGAAGAATCATCTTATTTCACAGTTCTCAATACCCTTAAGGACTGTTAGAGAGACAGAGGGATGATGAATATTCCAGAACGGGGCGGTGGTGGTGGTGACGGTGGAGGAGGAGGAGGAGGAGAGGTGAATAACCAACCTCAGCAGCCGCCGCAGCCTCCGCCACAGCAGAGATGTCCTCGCTGTGATTCTGTGAACACCAAGTTCTGCTACTACAACAACTACAGCCTTTCGCAGCCAAGGTACTTCTGCAAAACTTGTAAAAGGTACTGGACCCATGGAGGATCCTTGCGAAACATACCCATCGGTGGTGGTTGCCGGAAGGGAAAACGGACCAAATCGTTGTCGGCCTCTTCGTCATCATCCGCTGCCGCCCTTCAATTGATGAGCCGGCAACAACCGCTGCAACCTCGGCTGCAAGAGGTGATCCCTACGCAACCGAACCCGATGACGTTACCTTCACGCGTTAATCTGGTCGGTCGTTCTTCTGCGATGGCGGCACCGGCACCGGCACCGGCAGTTCCTTCGATTAGTTCCTACTATCAAGGTGGCGGGCATCTATCATCTCTGGCGGCGATTCACTCCCAAAACCCATCACAACCATTATTCAACCTTTCGTCTCTGAATCTTGTTCCTTCTAATCTGGGTCTTCATCCTTGGTTCAACGCTCCGTCGACTCAAGCCTCGAAGCACCAAGTTCCTCCGTCGTCACCGGTGTTCCAATCGGAAAAAAGAAGCAGGGAGGTGGAATCTCTGTACTTATCTGATCATCGAGGTCTGGTTCATCAAACGAGCATGATGAATATGGGTAATAATAGCAGTTACGCTTCACTCCATGATTGGTCTCAAAACTCTATGTGGAGTACTGTGAGCACAACTTCGATTGCAGACAATTCTGGGAGTACTGGTAATAATGGTCATAGTAATAAGCATGATGCTAATAAAGCTGGATCATCTTCTCTGAGTGGAAATCAATGGCCTGACCTACCAGGATATGACCCTCCTCAATGATCATCATCTTCATCTTTTTCAGACGTTACACCCTCGCGAGTTGCAAAATTCCAGAGATTGAAGGCATGAATCTTCGGAGCAGTTAAGTCACCCTCATCCATATATTTCTGTTTAGTTTCATTTTCCATTTTAGCAAAATAGATTATAGAGGATCATAAGAGAGGGGGAAAAAAACAAATATAGTACATATACAGTGGGCAGGGTTTTTGTTTTTGTTTTTGTTTTTAAATTTGTAAACATAATAAGAGGGTAAAGAGGTTTGTGAAGTGATGGAAATTCAAGTGTAAACTGAGAATTAGTATAGCTCCCATATTGACTTGTACTGTTTCTGATAAGTCAGAAATTCTCTGTTTGTTTTATATTTCATCCAGCTTTTTACATATGTTATATATAGTTCATTGCTTAGAGAGCTTCGTAGTTTTCACATGGTTCTTTCTTTTCAACAACAATCTTAAATATAAAATCAGTGTATACAAGGGTCTTATATTTAGGATCGAAACAGTAATATGGAGATCTAAAAGATGAACAATGCCGTACGGCTAATTAGCGAGAACTAACGCTCCTTGCACTAACTTGTTCATTCGTGAATTGATCAAGATAGCTTTGTTTAAAATGTTGATACCGAAGACAAGATGATACTTTCTCGAATCCTAAATATATGTGCCATGTAACTAATTTATAATGATTAAGAAAATTTAGTTACAAAAAAATGTGCATTTTATTTTTTTTTTTTGAGTGCAAAAAATGTGCATTTTATCAAGATAACATATGCAATGAATAGGAATAGCTGAGGAAGAAATTATACATTCAGGAAATACAAAGTGAATTATGATATTTTATTCAAAATCAAATCAAATTTTTCGATTAGCTCCTATGTTTAGAATCAGAATCAGAAGATAAGTTAATATATTGTGAGCATGTAGGTGATGAAGGGTTGATATGCATATTCTTACACTCTCCACCTCACTGTCCCGCTCTTCCTCTCCTTGATTTTTTCATAAATAATTTTTTAGTCTTGCTTTTGTAAATCTTTGATGAAGGCGTAAATTTACCTATAGAATATTTGGTGAATGTACACTTAGCACCATAATGTTCGCTTTAGTACGAAAATGCCTGTGAAAGTTTCAGAAAGACGTAAAATTGCCATGACCATTCATTTAAACAAACGTCCATTACTTTTTTTTAACGGTGGCTTCACGTTCATTTATGTTCTATCTTTGCACTCTTTTAAAACTTTCATAGGCACTTTTATAGGTAAGATGGTGTTTGCTAGGTACGCTTTCGTGAATACTTGTTAAATTTTGACTTCACTGAATTAAGGTTCACCACCAATGTCCCCTTGCATCAGTTGAATTACGTAAATAGGGGATTTAAGCATATAGACGTAGATTACGTGGTATATTACCACACAGGCTTCTGATGTAATTCCTTTTAAGTAATGAATGCTCATTTATTCAAAAAATAATAATAAATAAAATTATGTAGGATATTTCTAAGATGTAAAAATTCCACAAAGAAATTCCATTGAAATTGTGCATGTTTGTTTGGCGTATTGTATTAAGAAACACTACTTACCATTGAGCAGTTTCTTTGTGACAAATTTTATTTTATATAATATTGATATATTAATATTTTGATTATTGATATTTTGCATAAAGTAAAAATACTGAACTAATTTATTTTCGCCCTAGCTTGTTATTTTTAAAATTAGAATAATTTCTTCTTTTTTTTGCCAACAAATTTGAATAATTTCTTAAACAAATTATATAAAAGAATAATGACAGTCAGGAGCAATTAAAATTAAAGTAGCTTGGTTGTAGAATGTGGAAAAATCGCCAATTTTAAGAATTATTAGATTGAAGTTTTAGATGCGCGATTTATATTGGGCATTTGCAGTTTAATTAACTTATTCTTTTGTCAGATCATAGCTTACTAATTTCATAAATGTTTATCCTATGAAAGTATTGAGTAAATTTCTTAACAAACAATTTTTTTCATCCTGAAATAACTTCTCAAAACAAAATAAAATGTAAATTAAATATGACAGTCTTAATTAATTAAGTACTTTTGGCCACTACAAAAGCCATCATCATCGTCATTATTATTGTTGTTGCTTTTATTGACATGATCAAACACAGCTTTGTAAGAGATTAAAGAGTTCATTAACTTTTATGCTTGTCGTATGATACAACGAATAAGTGTCTCAATCAAGAGATTTCAATTCCACTTTCTTGCCATTATATTATATGAAGCACACGATGAAATAAAGTGAAATAAACCATCATGGTTCATTTTGAAAAAAAAAAAACAACAAATAAAAAATTCACATGCTCGAAGTTATTTAGACTTGAATGAGAAAAAAAAAAAAACAAAAAAGTAGTTCTGCTTACCCCATTTCCAGCTAGCTAGCAAAGAAGGATGCTATGTTTTTGGAAGACTAGTCAAAATATAATGAAATGATCATACCAAAACTGTCTTGAATGATATATGAGTATATGACCATGTAACCAATTTTTTCTTCACGACATTAATTTCTTCTTTTTAACAAATCATTTAGGGTTCGTTTGGTATGAGAGAAATAGCAAGATATTGAAAACGGGACCGGCAATTGAACCGATCAAGACAGTAAGTCAAGGGTCAATGGTCAGACCGAAGTCAAACCGGGGGTCAAACTGGTGAGAATAAAAAAATAAAAAAATAAAATTTTTACTAGGAACTAGATATCAATTTAATATCTTGAATTACTAGTAAAATAATCATATATCTACAATTTCTTATAATATCATACTATTAAAATCACTAAATATTCGTCCCAAAAAAATATCGAAATAGATATATGATAACAAAATATTTCTCCGTATAGCTATTCAATAACTAAGTCCTAATTATCAATAGCTTTTAAAAAAAATCATCAAAATATTTTTTTTAAAAAAGGGAATCGGGTTAACCCACCAAACCAGATCATTACCAATTTTCCCTGGTTCAGTTCGGGTCACACCAGGTCAAAGTGACCTCGATTCATAGGTTCAGCCGGACCGGTTTCTTGGTTGGTTCACTAGTTTCTGGTCCAAACCGGCCAATCTGGTTTCATTTTCCATACCATGGGAAATAGAGAAGAGGAGAAAGAAGAAATAATTTTAATGAAATCCATTTTAAAAAAATGAAAAAATAGAGTTAAAAGCTTTTAATAAGTTTTTATTACTTCTTTATTTTACAATTTTCCTTTATTAAAACTTTAAAATCTCACTTTTCTCATTTTTTAAATTAAGCTCATTAAAATTTTTCTTCCACACCTTTCCCTTCACTTCCCTCATACCCAGTACAGGTTAGTATATGATGAATTCGAATCAAGTTGGGCCCTAATGAAAGAAACTCTCGTTGAGTTGCATTTTAAATATAAAGATGCTCATATCACCAATATATATATATATATATATATATATATATAAAGATGCTCACGAGAGCAAGCAATTCATAAAAGAAATAACACAGGATGATTTAGTGCAGAAAGACGTTTTTATATTGGTTAAAAAGGCCTTTTACATCGGTTCTCTGACTGATGCAAATATAGACAGTGTAGAAAAGTTTTGAAATTTTCTAACAATCAGTGTAAAAAGCTATAAATTTTTAAATACATTAACTAATTTAAATAACTATATACATAGTATTTTTATACTGATTTCAATTGCAACCGGCGTAGAAAGTCCAGAGTTCCTAATTTTACTTACTAAAATATTACCGGTCATATTTTTTATGCTGTTCGTGCAGCAACAAAATGTTATTTTGCTCTGGTGGGTCTTGTGGCAAGTCACTGCAATTGTTTTCATAAATATGATCTAGTATGTATTATTATAATGTGATCGTAAACAGAGTAATCCGGCTTCTCCTCCATATCTTATGCCTCCATTTATTCCCTAGTAAATGTTTAACTGAACATGTTGAGCCTTTGAATGTTTATCAGTTTACATCAATATTCAGCAGTTGTATTTGCTAGTCAGTCTACCTTAAAAACTGCTCTTGCACGGATTTCATGCGTCAAAAAAGTTGAACTTATTTGAATAATTTTTTTAATATTTTTGCTCGTTCCTTACAATTTAATCATCAGTTACTTACTTGATGTTGATCATATATATGTCTACGTCACTTTCTAGATTAATTAAGCATCTTCATCGATATAAAGGGAAAATAAATTCAGGTATATGAGGATTAAATTAAGGAAAAAATCAATGTAAATATTATTTAATACTAATAGAATTTTAAAAAATTAAATATTTGCATGTTGAGTTGCGTTATTTACAAATTATGAGTCAAATTTGACTACTTAATATTTACGAGTCAAACTTTTATATTTATAAGTTAAATTATACTACCAGCCAAAAAAAAAGTTAAATTATGTTATTTACAAGTCAAATTTGTAAATATTAAATGTTTCGGGACCTATTATTAGTATCTAATGAAATTAAAAGAACATATCTATATTTAATTTTCTAATCTAGTACCGATGAATATTTTTTCCAAGTATTATTTACTATATATATAATAATAATAAGCGCACTATTTACAGGTCGTTCACCAATATTGCTTTTTTTTTTAATTTCGTATATTAAATAAAAATTTCATCTCACAAAATAAATCAATATCAATAGAGATATTAAGTTAAATCACAAATAGAGTAACTTATTTTTTCAGAATCCATAAAATTTTTAAAAAAAAATGTCTTGCAATATAAGAATATGAAATAACACTATACACTACAATAATTGAGAGACAAATGCTTATCTTTTGATGGTTCAAAACGGTCTTGAAGACGTGTGGACCCAAAATGGTTTCAAATTTCTCATAAAGTTGCCTTGTGATTAATCATTAACCTTTAATTAGAACTTAAGCATCGCACATGGCATTACTTCAGTGGCACAAGTTATATTTAACACATCCTTATGGACCAAAATCTATTTTTTTGATGTGTTCAAACCATTTAGTCATTCCTTCTCTAGTTACTT